TAAAATTGTATTAAAGAGTGTATAAAAGAGTGCGAGAACATTTATGAATCCTTTTTTTTCTGCTGACACTGGTGGAAAATGCCAATCACCACCATTTTATTGACATAGCATTAATAGAGCAACTACTGTATTTTTGGCAGAATCTAAGGTTTCCATTGAAAAACATTGAAAAGAGGCATTATTTTCGTAGGCCAAATGTGCTTTGTATGTTGTTCTCTTGGTGCACAGCTTTGCATAAAACAAGGTTTGTTGCCTTTGGTCAGCTTCCAACAACAACAGAATGAATGAACCATAGTCGGTTCATAGTCAGCTCTTTCAGATAATACAATGGCCCCCAAATGTATTTGGACATTAAAGCCACACTTTAAAAAGTATTAATTTCTTTGCATTCAATAACAATATAACGAACTAAGTAGCATCTGCAAATTATGCTAGATGTTTCTCAGAATTAACTTGACATACATTTTAAGTGTGACTAAAGTGTCTGAATAATTTTGTGGTGACTATATAATACAGAACATTGCTGTACTTACGTTCTGTGGCCATGGTAATGATGGTTTCACTGCTGCCTTGTTCCTCATCCTCACTAATGCCTCCATTTTGATCATATTGGTCCAGGAGCTCCTGCAGTGGAGGTGCTTTGGGTAAGAGTAGCTTGACCGTGTCTCTGCTGATGTTTGGAACCTGTTCTAGACGCAGGATGCTCAGAATCTGAGACTTAATGGAGTGCAGGCGCATGAGTTTACTCTGCTGTCTAAACTGACAGGTTGTGCACTGGCCGTTGTCGTCTCCAGCCGTCACAAATGCTCGTGATGTTATTGTTGTAGCTGTTGTTCTTGCACTCAGGGTCTGACTGTGTGACCCCAACACACTCCAAAAGCTCAGATAAAGAAGGATAAACATGTTTCCTGATGTGTCTTTGTAGACGTTTACACATTTGGGAATGGACGGCACCTGTACAACAACTCTCTCCAAACAGCAGTGGACAGATGTTCAGCCTCTCAGGCAGTTTTATACTTAAGATTCCCTGCTGTTAGATATCGTATGATTGGTGGGATTGAGAAGCACAAGTCCAGATGAGACAGCACAGAGACTTTTTGATCTTTGGGTAAATTCTAAAAGCAAGTTTTGATTTGAGGATTTTCAGGGACTGCCTATTTTGTTGGACATACCATGAATTTCTAACACAAATGCCTTAAAATATCATATGAATTTCATTATGCTGATTGATGATTGATCAATGATGCACCCAACTGTGCAGCTATTCAGATGTTTTTAAGTACTTTCGGAGTACTTCCTTTTGTGTGTGTGTGTGTTATGGGTAGGTTGTTCTGAGTGTTGCTCTATGGCGTTTCTAGGTGGTTGTTCTTTTTAGCATATCATGATGTTGTGCCTGGGGTGTTATGGGTATTTGCTAGGGTGGTTGTTAGGTTAGTTGTTAGGTTGTTCTGAAAGGTTTCAACAGTGTTGTGGTTTGATAGAATTTCTTGGTGATTTCTATGAGGCTGGTAGAGTGAATTTTAGCTTGTTGCTATGTAATTGCTAGTGTGTTCTAAGTGTTCTTTTTTTGGATGTTGTTACATTGGTGCTTAGGTGTTATAGTTAGTTTTATATAGTGTTAGAGTTGGGTTGCTAGGTTGTTCTGAAAGGTTTTTAAAGTGTTGGTATATGGTTGATAGGTCAAGTCAAGTCAAGTCACCTTTATTTATATAGCGCTTTT